TTATTACGGTGTATCCATATAAATGGCCCACCCTGTATATCAGAATCAATGCGGTGCTTTTACGGCACTTTTGGCTGCACAGGAAACAGAGCAGTGTTCGATTCATCCTACAAAAAAAGATGTTGTCATAAAGGTTGCACTTTTAATCCTGTTTGAGCAAGAGGCAGGATAAACCAAAGCATTTAACCCCACACTCTACAGGCCCCTCTTCTATGGAACCATCTCCGAGTTTGGATTCAGGAGACAGACACTATCTCTGCTTTCTGATTAGAGTTCAAACTTTACTTTTTGCTAAAGCATATAGTTAGGGCTGGATCGGGTGATCCTAAATTCTCTCTTAGTTATTTAGCGCAAGACGTTGCTGGGCACATCCCATGATGCATTACTTCTTTTTTACCAACTATGTTTCCAACCAGTGGTGGCAGATGGCTGCCCCTCCCTGAGCCTGGTTCTACCCGGGGTTTCGTCCTGTTAAAAGGAAGTTTGCCTTTCCGACTGTTGCCACATGCTTGTTCGAAAGGGAAGTGTAAAAGGATTGATTCTAAAATAAGAATCATCTGCTCACGTCTGCCCACCTGTGAATATTACCCTGTTGTCTCATCCCACAGCAAATTAAAACAGGAAACACATGAATTTAAAAATAATCAAATGTACTTTTAACATCTCAATAGGACCGCCACACTAAGAATGAAATAAATAAAAATATCAGGTAATACAAATTAAAGTGCTAGTAGTATTCAAACAAAAACATAATAGGAAACTAAAATGGGTTCTGTCCATAAGTTCAAATAAAGCTTTAAATGGAATCAAAAAGATTTTATTTTCCAGTCCTAAGAAACAATTTTCCGAAGCTTACAGATGATTCAGTTCATGACTTCACGATTGCAGTGGACATGCCCTGGAGTGAGGCGTGCTCTTATCTTTGAGGTGATGTTCCCAGCTGCTGATAACATGCTGAAGATGCTCTCTGTCACGACTTCAGCACTTTTAGAGGTGCATGAGCTTATACAGGACAGTCTCATATAAATGCCTGTGCTTACTACTAATATAACAGAACAAACAGAGTTAGACAAAAACTAATTATACTAATGTCTGTATATTATAGTTTCTCAGGTGGAGTAGTGTTCAGTGCCAATTAAACTATTTAATTGAATATTGATAAAGTCCAACCCACAGATTAACAAGTTAGGTGTAAAAGGTTTACTGTAATATTACCTGTAGTGTACTGCAGTTACAAAACAACATTTTTGGTATAAGTATATGATGCGTCGATGAATTTTTATAGTCAACATCATCAATTAATCAGCACTTTTCTACTCTCCCAGAGCACTCAAAGCACTTTAGACAACATGCCTCATTCACAAAGGCACTTTTTTCTATACTTAAGTGCTTTCTATCTAACATTCAAACACATTCATACTCTGATGGATGCATCAGTGAGCAACTTGGGGTTAGTATCTTGCCCTAGAGCAGCGGTCCTCAACCATTTTTGCACCACGGACCGGTTTATGCCCGACAATATTTTCACGGACCGGCCTTTAA